ATGTCATCACTGGGTCTCTGTGCTTCTCTATGCAATTCGGGAAGATCATGTCTAGTGGAAGGGGCCAACAGGGTGCTGTACATAGGTTCCTGAAGACATCATAGCACTCTGCTTTGATAGTTGTGTGTCAATCTGGAGGATAGGGTTTTCCTAGGAAAGCTTCATATGCATACCCAGGTAATGCTCACATACGTTGCTGAACTTCCATGTTTAAAAGAACTGAAATCCACTGAAGGAAAGGGGTGGGCCAGAGACTGTAAAGCTGGAGAGTTAGGGTCCTTTCACAGGGTCGGATAACAGGTCTGTGTCTACTCCGCTGCTGCAGAGCAGACACAGAGCAGCTCGCTCTCCTTAATGGATGGTTGGATGAAAATGGACCGCCTTTCTATTTCTATCTGACCCGATCTGACGGACAGAAGGGGATTTGGATCCCCATCCATCCCTTTTTTGTGGGTCGGATTGATATGGAAGTCTGTGGGTGTAAATGGGCACGTCTGCTTACATCTGCTGCTCCATAGAGGAGAATGGAGGTTCCGATTGGGTCCGCCTGAAAAACGGCCAGGCGGACCCTATCAGGATGTCCATGTGAAAGAGGCCGAAAGCAGAGGAGCCTGTGCAACAGTGCAAGACTTGAGGGTAAGGCTGAAGTTCGGCTTTAATGCAGTAATGCTTTTCATCACCTCTCTAGTGGATGCTCTGTAGAAATTCACCTTGGCCACTGTCATAACAAGCTTGGCTGAAAAGCCATGACTGATCTCTTAGTCATACCAAAGGTACAGAACATTTAATGTTCCACTGAGGAGATCAAGACCTGTCTTCCCATCTTAAAAAAAAAAAAAAAAAATCTCTTTAAATGCCATATATGCCTTTTAGATGGAAGGAAGGAAGGGTGGATGGGTGGAAGGAAGCGAGGGATGGGAGGGTGAAAGGGGTGGGTGGAAGGAAGGAAAGGAGGGGTGGGTGGAAGGAAGGGTTGGTTGGATGGAAGGAAGGAAAGAAAAGGTGGATGGAAGGGAGGGGTGGGTGCAAGGTTGGGTGGTTGGAAGGAAAGGAAGGGTGGGTAGAAGGAAGGAGAGGAGGGGTGGGTGGAAGGAAGGAAGGATGGGGTGGATGGAAGGAAAGAAAGAAGGGGTGGATGGAAGGAAGGAAAGAAGTGGTGGATGGAAGGGTGGGTGGTAGGGAGGAGTGGGTGGAAGGAAGGATGGGAGGGAGGGGTGGAAGGAAGTAAAGGGATGGATGTAAGGAAGGGTGGGTGGAAGGAAGGAAGTGAGGGGTGGGAGGAATGGAGAGTGGGGTGGAAGGAAGGAAGTGAGGGGGGGGGGGGGGGAATGGAGGGGTGGGTGGAAGGAAGAGAGGAGTTGGTGGAAGGAAGGGTGGGTGGAAGGAAGGACGGATGGAAGGAAGGGAGGGGGGTGGAAGGATGGAAAGAAGGGGGGTGGAAGGGAGGGGAGGGTAGAAGGAAGGGGGGTGGGTGGTTGGAAAGAAGGGGACGTTGGAAGGATGGAAGGGAGGGGGGGTTAGAAGGATGGAAGGGAGGAGGGAGGTGGAAGGGAGGGAGGGGAGTTGGAAGTGAGAAAGGGGAGATGGAAGAATGGAAGGGCGGGAGAGGGGGTGGAAGGAAGGTTAGGTCAAACTCACCATGACTCCTTCACAAGTATCAGAGCTGTGACCGTCGGCTGCTGTGTTCAGTTTCCCGCCCACACCTCTGAAGCTGCACGGACTGGAGTGCGGGTTGGCACAGGGGGGAGGCAGAGCAGATCCAGCCTCTCTCCCCTCTTCTCCTATTGGTGCGGAGGATGGAGGGAGGGGCTGGGCTGCTGGGCAGTGAGAAGAACACCGTAGCTGGAACACAGCGGCGGTGGGAGGAAGGGAGTGGGGGCGAAAGAAAACCATTCTGTGCAGCGGTGGAGGTGGCGAGCAGCGCCAGGGCTAGGGGTGTGTGGGAGGGGCGGCGGTGGTTGTGGTGACAGGCAGCGATCTCCTGTATGACTTTAAATGAAGCAGCTGGAAGCTGCTTCCCTCCTCTCCCTCCTGTGGCTTCCAGCTGCTTCATTGAAAGCCATACAGGAGATTGCTTCCTGTCACCACAACCACTGTCACCCCTCCCACACACCCCTAGCCCTGGTGCTGCTCGCTGCTTCCACCGCTGCACAAAACTGTTTTCTGTCTGCCCCCCCTCCCTCCCACCGCCACTGTGTTCCCGCCACTGTGTTCTTCTCACTACCCAGCCCAAATTTCAAGGCGGCAGCCAGGGATGGTTGGCAACTCTCCTCTGGGGGGATTCAGACACCCCTGACACCCCCCCCCCCTTATCTACGCCCCTGCAGGCTGTTATGCAGGCTGACTGGTTTTAATACTTTCTAAGCTACTGATCCTCACCACCTACATACACTAATAAAACTGGAAACAAGTCAGAGACTTGTGGTAACATGATTCAAAGGGCTGAACAACATAGTCAGCATGACGACCAGGAAACTAGCATTCTTAAAAAAGCAGTGGTAGTCTGCATGCATCTGTCTACCAGGACAGATTTCTTTTAACGGTTATAGAACTTCAACCCACATGTCAAGCTATGTATCTTAAAGCATTACCTGCAAGGTAATGGTATAATGTGATAGTTTGCATTGCATACTAGCACATTATGAAGGACTTGCCATAAAATGAAGCCCTCCAGTGGCGCACTGTCACAATTGACAGGACTTCCATCTTCACTGGTTTTCCTTCTGGGTTTCAAGATCAGAAATGTGTTTGTAGCTCCTCCGTACAAAGCCATAACATTTTTTGTCACTTTATTAGTAGACATCTTATGTTGTTTGTTAGTTTTAAAATGTGCTACATCAATCAAATTGTGATAGTCTGTATTAGTCTAAAATATTACACAGGACAGCCAACATAAGAACATATAAGTCAAAAACACAAGTTATAGGGAATTATAATTACTATTACAATACAGGATTTATAGAATTATTTACGTCCCGTGGACTTTTCCACATATTGTAGTTTTACAAACTGAAAAGGAAACACAAAAAATTGTATTTTTACTGTTTGATTTACACAATAATACCAGACACATACACTGAAATTATTTTGTCAAAACAAATATTAACTAAACAGAAAAGTACAAATTCACAAATGGAGTCAAAAAATGAAGTAGATCACTTTAGTTAAATGAGCCCTTTGACTCCATAGAGTGAAACAATTTAAGGCTTTTTGGTGCTGTAAGGTGCTTATTTGAATAATGTCTCACAGTACTCTAATTTGTGAATGCTATATGAACGTTTGTATAGATGTACACCTGGTAAGTCAAAAGCAAGTAGGGAGTATGGATGCAAGCCGATCCTTTGGTGGCAGCAATGTTTGTGTATGAAAACAGAAAAATAGACTACAATTGCAATATGTGTTTCATGCCCCCTTTCCTGAGTCCGTGCTTGGCAAAACTACATTTGGTTATAGTTATGGCTGCATGTAATTTTACCAGCTTTAAACATCAGTTTCCAGAAAATGTTGCCCTTTTTTGTCAAGCCTGATCTAGCTCTGCTGGATTGGATTTGATCTGTTAGTAGACTGTATAGATTCTCAGTTAGGATCTGGGCTCTGGTTGAGCCATATTAACATATTTAAGTTTTTGGTTTACAGTTGTGCTGAAAAAGTTTGCATACCCTTGGAGAATTGGTAATATGTATTTACTATTTTTAACCATTTCCCCACCGCCCCATAGCAGAAATACAGCTACAGGGGTGGCAGGGGTGTGCAAAATCACATGTGTGATTTTGTATTTCCAGGTAGCGCGTGAGCTGCATGGGCACTGTACAGCCATCCAGAGCAGTGTGCTTACAGTGAAGCAGCAACACACCGCCAACCCTTTGATCGCCCCTCATGTTAACCCCTTCCTGCCCAGTGCCATTAGTACAGTGTCAGTGCTTTTTCTTTTAGCACTGATCACCAATACGGTGTCATTGGGGATGTCAGTGACACCAAGTCAGTTCCCCCTAGTGTCAGAATGCCTTCCGCAGTCCCGCTATAAGTCGCTGATCACATTACTAGTATATATAAAGAGAAAACAAATTCAAGTATATACAGTATATACCACCATTTGTAAATGCTATAACTTTCACTTAAACCAATTAATTTACATGTATTGGGATATTTTTAGCAAAGACATGTAGCAGAATCCATTTTGGCCTAAATTTTATGCCGAAATTTGATTTTTTTAATTTTTCTACTGGACATGTTTAATAGCAAAAAGTAAAAAATATTGTTTTTTTTCTTAAAATTGTTGGTCTTTTTTTTATTTTATAGCGCAAAAAATAAAAACCACACAGGCGATCAAATACCATTGAAAGAAAGCTCAATTCGTAGGGAAAAAAGGACGTAAATTTTATTTTGGTGCAGCGTTGCATGACCATGCAAATGTTAAAGTAACGCATCACCGTAACACAAAAAATGGCATGGTCAGGAAGGGGGGTAAATCCTCAGGAGGGCAAATCCTAAGGAGGGCACGTGGTTAAAGAAAACATGCACAAGCAGGCAAAACACATTTCTTTTATTTTTTATGACATTCATATTCAATTGTAGGTCATAACAGAATGGCACAATTATAAAACAAAACATTGCAAAAATGAAATGACCCCTGTTCAAAAGTCTGCACACCCTTACTTCTTACTACAATGCATTGCCCCCTTTAGCATCAGTGACAGCTTGCAGTCTTTTGTAATAGTTGCCTTTGAGGCTCTGAATTCTTGCAGGTGTTATAGCTGCCCACACCAGAAGGTATATAACTTACAAAATGTTTGCCTTTTATTAACCGCCTCCTGCCCGCCATATAGTAATATGGCGGATGCAAGGTGGTTCTCTCATTCTGGGAGGACGTCATATGACGTCCTCCCATTCTAACCGCGCATGTGCAGCTCCCACAGCTGATCACATGTAAACAAGGAAATGCTGGTTATCGGCATTTCTCTCCCCACGAGCTGTCACGCTGACAGCTCGTGAGGAGAGGAGAGCCGGTAATTGGCATTCCTTGGTGGGGACATGTACACAGATCATCAGAGCACTGATGATCAGTGTGCCCTGATGATCTGTGTAGCCACAGCAGCGCCACCTGTCAGTGTCCATCAGTGCCATCTCTCAGTGCTCACCCATGCCACCTGCCAGTGCCCATCAGTGCCACATTTCAGTGCCACATCAATGTCACATATCAGTGTCCATCTGATCTGCCTTTCAGTGTCACCCATCAGTTCCAGTCAGTGCTGCCAGTCAGTGCCACCTATCAGTGTGCATCAGTGCCGCCTATCAGTGCCCGTCAGTGCCGCCTATCAGTGCCACCTATCAGTGCCATATATCAGTGCCGCCTATCAGTGCCATATATCAGTGCCATATATCAGTGCTACCTTTCAGTGCCCATCAGTGATGCCTGTCAATGCCCATCAGTGCCACCTACCAGTGCCTCCTCATCAGTGCCCATCAGTGCCACCTATCAGTGTCCATCAGTGCAGCCTATCAGTGCCCATCACTGCAGCCTCATTAGCGCACATCAGTGAAGGAGAAAAATCACTTATTTACAAAATATTTTAACAAAAACTAAGACAAAACGTTTTTTTTTTCAAAATTTTCAGTGGTTTTTGGTTTGTTTAAGAAAAAAAATAAAAAACCCAGAGGTGATTAAATACCACCAAAATAAAGCTCTATCTGTCACAAAAAATGATAAAAATTTCATATGGGTACAGTGTTGCATGACGCGCAATTGTCATTCAAAGTGCAACAGCGCTGAAAGCTGGAAATTGGCCTGGGCAGGAAGGGGGTATAAGTGCCCTGTAGGCTAGTGGTTAAGGAAAATATAGTTTGATGCAGTTGAGATACCCAGTAGAATTCTATTTGTAATAGTTTAGTATGTAGGATGCCTCACTGATCATCTGAAAGCACCATCCTAGTTGAATTTTTATGTCATGTATGGTAATAATAATGGCCGCTTTCACAGGTGGAGGCAAATATTTTATGAAGTCTAAACTACAGTTGTGCTCAAAAGTTTGCATACCCTTGGAGAATTGGTAATATAGTGTACAATATTAGTGTACAGTATAGAATAAACATACAGAAGGGATCCCCTAAGTTAAATGGGACTTTGAAGGCATAACTACATGAACTAAAAATATATGAAGTCTTTATTTTCCATCAACTTTTCACACATATAAAAATTATGGCATGACAAACCATTTCCAAAAGATCATATTGCAGCATGACATCACCATCAAAAGATATTGTTTGGTTACAGAGATAATTTATAAAGATCCAACGCTTTTCTGAGTAATTTCACTCCTTCCTCAGGGAAAAGAAAACTCTGCACAAAGGTGATATAATCTGAGATTGAAAGTACATTTGTTTAGAACACAACATATGTCTATAAGAAATATTTGCATAGTTCCAAGTATACGGATATACTCACAATATAGAGAAGTAAAAAGACACATAAATAAATCTTCAACCAAACCTTAAAGCAAGGCTTCAATTTGCCACCACCTCCCAGCCAGAGCACCAGTGGGTCTCAAATACCCAGGAACCCCCAGAACAAAACACAAGGGCCACTCAGATCACTGCAAAAAAAGGGGGGCTTGGATAGTAAAGAACATCTCCAATGAGAAATTCACACCGGGTGGCGGATCCAAGCGGCATTCCTTGTTGAGGCACCATGGGATTGGTGTCTGGGTGTCATTTTCTCGCCGTCTGCCCACTTAGATGCTGCCAGTCACTGCCAGATGATTGGATGGACCTCTTAATGAGGTTCCTATATATTTGGGATATTTGCCTTTCACACTTTGATACTCCCTGCTCTTGTTGGCCAGTGTGGATTCTCCTAGATTGCGGTACGGCATTTTTTTCGTGGCGAGCATTATGTAGAATTTTATATCTGTTAGGAAGTTTTCCCCTTCTTTTTGGGAATTAGGGCCTTGTATTTATGCATTTTTCTCCATTTTTGTTGGTTCAATGATACATATATTTATTGGTTTCCCCGTTGATATTATTTTTAAAAGTCCATGTGGCTTGACCGGATACATATTTTTGAAGATTCATACCTACACGTTCTCTGGTTTATCTGTATAGATCTGAATGATTTTTCTGAAATATCTAAATGCTCACAAGTACAATGGGCTTATTTCAGAGGTTACTGTATGTAATTGCTTTTTTCCACTGTTTGAATTTCTCATTGTTCTTTACTATCCAAGCCCCCCTTTTTTTTCAGTGATCTGGGTGGCCCTAGTGTTCTGTTCTGGGGGGGTCCTGGGTATCTGAGACCCACCAGTGCTCTGGCTGGGAGGTGGTTGCAAATTGAAGCCTTGCTTTTCAGTTTGGTTGATGATTTATTCATGTGTCTTTTTACTTCTCTATATTGTGAGTATATCCATATACCTGGAACTATGCAAATATTTCTTATAGACATATGTTGTGTTCTAAACAAATCTATTTTCATTCTTACAGATTATATCACCTTTGTGGAGTTTTCTTTTCCCTTAGGAAGGAATGAAATTACTCAGAAACACGTTGGATCTTTATAAATTTTCTCTGTAACCAAACAATATCCTTTGATGGTGATGTCATGTTACAATATGATCTTTTGGAAATGGTTTGTCATGCCATAATATTTATATGTGTGAAACTTTGATGGAAAATAAAGATTTCATATATTTTTAGTTAATGTATTTATGCCTTCAAAGTCCCATTTAACTTAGGGGGGTCTCTTCTGTATGTTTGTTCTATATTCTGGGGATGATGGCTGTTTATCACGAAGTTTCCGTTTTCTTTCTCTATAGTGTACAATATGTACAAATTTTTAACGAAAACGTGAGTGGGAAAAACACATTTCTTTTATTTCTTTTGGGATTCATATTCAACTGTAGCTCATAACAAAATGGCACAATCATAATACAAATCATGGCAACAAGTAAACAAATGAAATTCCCCTGTTCAAAAGTCTGCATACCCTTAGTTCTTAATACTGAGTATTGTCCCCTTTAGCATCAATGACAGCGTGCAGCCTTTTGTAATAGTTGTTTATGAAGCCATGAATTCTTGCAGGTGGTATAGCTGCCCATTCATCTTGGCAAAATGCCTCCAGGTCATGCAAAGTCTTTGGATATCTTGCATGAACCGCACATTTTAGATCTCCCCAGGGTGGTTCAATGATATTAAGGTCAGGAGACTAAGATGGTCACTCCAGGACCTTCACCTTTTTCTGCTGTAACCACTGAAGAGTCAACATGGCCTTGTGCTTAGGGTCATTGTTGTGTTGGAAAGTCCAAGAGCGTCCTATGCAGGGCTTTGATGCCAAACAATGTAAATTGTTTGCCAGTATTTTCTGATAACATGCTGCATTTATCTTGCCATCAATTTTTACAAGATTACCCGTGCCTTTAGAGCTCGCACACCCCTGAAACACCAGTGAGCCACCACCATGTTTCACAGTGGGGATGGTATTCTTGTCGCTATAGGGCTTGTGGACCCCTCTCCCAACATAGTGCTTATGGTTGTGACCATAAAGCTCTATTTTGGTCTTGTCACTGCAGATTACAGTGTGTCAGAAGCTGTGAGGTGTGTCAAGGTGTTGTCGGGCATATTGTAACCGTGCTTTTTTGCGGCATTGGCATTCTTCTGCCAGTTGTGGCTGCAATCTTTCTTGGTCTACCTGACCTTGGCTTGGTATCAAGAGTTTTCAGAATTTTTAAGGCTTTGGATATCTTTTTTATATCATTTTCCATCTTTATAAAGTTCCATTACCTTGTTATGCAGGTCTTTTGACAGTTCTTTTTTGCTTCCCATGGCTCAATATTTAGCCTGCTCAGTGCATCCACTTGAGAGCTAAAAAAAACGTATTAGCTATTTATACACTGACACTAATTGCAATTTAAAAAGCCACAGATGTGAGAAATTAACCTTGAATTGCCATTTTTTTAACCTGTGTGTGACACCTTGTGTGTCTGTACCAAGGCCAAACATTCCAGGGTATGTAAACTTTTGATCAGGGCCATCTAGGTGATTTCTCTTATTATGATTTAAAACTAAGCCAAACAACTCTCTGATAACAAATGGCTTCATGTGATCACTATCTTTAAATAGCACGATCAGTCATATTTTCAATATCAATGCCAATATTTCCCAGTTTCTGCCAGGGTATTCAGACTTTTGAGCACAACTGTATATTTAGGTCTTTCTGTGTCTACGAGGAAGGTCAACCCGTACTCCATACTTGCAGATGAAAACAGGTTTACCTCCTATATTTGGCTTAATCCATCTTGCCCTCAGCCTTTACTGATGTTGTACTATCTGATAATGAAAATTCCACAACCTGATGCTACTGCCAACATACATTAATGTGTGAACAGGAGATGATAAACTGTATTGGTTATCGTCCTCACATAGCATACTAGATAACCTATTTCTCCATGTTTGGCATATCTTCCTTGACTTTGGAAAACATCATACAGTGTATGTGTGTATATGTATGTATGTATGTGTATGTGTGTGTGTATATATATATATATATATATATATATATATATATATAGCCCTCTGTTCTTAGCTGTATAGGGAGCTTAGAGAGGTGGAGTGGTGTGTCAGCAGGAGGAAGAGAAACAGCAGTACAGGGATCTACCCAGCGAAGAGTTGTACAGGGAGGGACGTGTCAGCACAGGTCTGGCCACTGGAATACAGGCAGGTATTTCACACAAAGGAAGCAATGCAAAGAGAACAGAACACTTTTTAAAGTGCATGGTAACACAGGAATATGAAATGTTGGGGTAACATGCACTTTAATGCCCTCTTTACCCAGCCATTGAGTTTTGTTGAATGGCTTTCTCTGGGCAGAGTCATTGTTGTGCATCCTTTGCATTTTGTAATTATCTATTTAGTGATGCTTCAGGCATCAGGTGTCTGGGATACATTTTTGTGAAACCCAACCCTGATTGGTGCTTCTCCAGTACTTTATCTCAGATGATCTGATAGCTTATCATGATTCTATTTCTTTAATTTTCTAACAACTGTACAGTTGTCCAGAAACAGGTGTGTTTATATTGAGATCACGTGACACTTAAATTTGCACAGGTAAATTTGATTAAACTTGTCTTTGGAAGGCATCTGGTCGCACTTGAGCTTATTTGGTGTTTTCACAGCTAAATTGGGGAAAATGTATGCAATCAAGGCTAGTTTATTTATTGTAAATTAGTTAGAAAAGGTTGTAGATCCTTTCCCACTTCAACATTATGGACTGCTGTTTGTGTTATAATACTACAAAAGATGTAACTGTTCCTGGAGTGAATATTTGGGTAGAGAACTATGAATGTTATTTCTTTTCACATAT